TGGTGCTGTTTTGCCTCATATCTGAGAGGCACTTCCATGAGTAATTCCTACTTCATGTAGTACCTGTGTGAAGTGTTGTTTGTAATCAGATACCATGATTAGTTCATGATTCATTAGCTGGCTGGTCTGAGTCAAATCAACTAGACTGTATTTATACAAGTCGTATATGTATAAGTATAGCCTCAAAATGAAACTCTCATGTTTACTTAATGAATTATAATAAAACAGTGACATGTGAGATATTTTAAGTTGGTTCAATTCAGATGGATATAAATTGCTAGAGTCTGTATGCAGGCTATGGATCCTTACACATCAAAATAGGGGCCAGTTCCACTAAAGAATTTTAGACCAAAGATTTGGTCTACATCAATAGTCCACCTAAATAAAATGGGCAATTGGTTTGAAACATTAGTTTTGCCTTTGTTGTTATACAAAAAGCACGATGTTTCCTTTACAACCTCATTCACATCGAGATGAGCCATGGCTCTACAAAGCCCTGAACTAAATATGGCGGACGTACATGAAAGGAAAACCGCCTAATCTTTTAATAGTCTCTCCGCCTCTCACACGCCTCCCCATGTGTCGTCCCAATGGAGCCAAGATTTAATGACTGTACCCCCCGCAGGGACGACGCATGGGGAGGCCTGTGAGAGGCGGAGAGACTATTAAAAGATTAGGCGGTTTTCCTTTCATGTACGTCCGCCATATTTAGTTCGTGGCTTTGTAGAGCCATGGCTCAACTCGATGTGAATTCGGTCTAAGAGTACTTCTACTACTTCTTCACTTCACTACATCACTGATTACTTAAAAGACTTAAGACAAAATTTTGGAGTTCAAGTTTAGACCAATTTTCGGGCTTGAGTTCTTTGGTGAAACTGGCCTCAGATATTGATCTAGAGAGAGCCAGCTGATTTCAGCATGTTATTAAACACCACATGTTATAAACTGGAACACTGGGAGAGCAAAGCACACTGAAGGTGGTGAATGAGACACAATTAGAAATCCCATCAAGATACTTCTTTTCAATAAGTTCCCGAGGATATGAAGAAGGAAGAGTTTGCTCATATTTTGTTATTGTTATTATTCTTTTTATTATCATCAGAATTTTTTTTTAGCAGTCAGCTTGTTCAACCATTCAGATTTGTTCAATAGTTCCAATTAAAAAGATTCATGGATAACTTTGTCATCCTTTCTATTATATAAACCACAGATTAGGACAAAAACAAATTATGAAAGCCCGATGAAACAAAAGATAGCATTTCTCCAGTCTGACTGGTATCTTAATTGAATATCAATGTTTCTAATTTAGTTTGTGCTTGGCCTTTCAATGCACCAGTGACTTCATTGACAAAGGAACCATACCAAAATAACAGAAGGGGAAGAAAAAAACTGAGGACATTATGATTTTAATGTACATAATCATCTATCTTTATTGCTTTGATTGAATTAATCAATACATCAATTTAGATGGCACACTGCCTAATTATACATACACATTGATTTCCTACAAGCTCGTTGTGATCACTTTGCTTCTTTGATCCAGTGTGTATTTATTAAATGGAGAGGGGAGGGGGGGGGGCAGATGTGTTTTTAACTGGTTTTCAAAGTAATAAGAGGCATTTGAATTTTAACGAAAATAAATTTTTGTCATTTCAAAAATTCAAGTTAATAAAATTTTGCAATCCAGCTGTCTGATTAAGTCCATTGTGCTTACTGTTTTAATGGGAGATTGCAATCAAGCTTTTGCATCTAAAGTTAAAGGGATAATAACTCTTCGTATGAGATCTATATTTCACAATAAAAACATTGTGAATAACTCACAGAAATATAATATATTCTTTTTTACCTCAAAAACCTCTTAAGAGATTTTAACAAAGAACCAAACTTTTTAGAAAAAAAACAGGGACTAACTTTGAATGTAAAAATGGATTCATTAACCATTGGTAAGTATGGGAAAATTGTTGTTTACTCCAGGAAAATTCATTTTTTGGCTGAAACTAAGAGTTATTATCCCTTTAAGATCAAAACATTTTATTTATTTATTTATTTATTTATTTATTTATTATTTGATCAGTCCATGGCTAAGCTTCAGTTCGTTTGCGTAAATTACTTGTGGCAAACGGATTATGTGACTTAAGTGAGTAATCAACACCATTTAATACATTGTGAACTCTCTGTCTGATTCCCAGCAGCACAAATCCACCTAATACCCCCTTTACACTGGACGGCGTCCTTTCTGCGACCATGAAATTTGGCATCGCTGTGGTCTTAATAAGGAGGCACGAGCATTGATTTGGTATCAGAATGAATGCTCAATGATCGGCCAGTTGTCGGCACGTAAAGTATTATAATTCTTTAACTCTCAAATGGGGCCGAACTGCTGGACGCAGAAGGGACGCCGTCCAGTGTAAAGGGGGCTTAAGCAGTGTGATTTACTTGGCTGATGATTCCCTATTGCTTTGGTATTGGTCAGCAGTATTGGTCAACATACACATACGTGTATTAGTCAGGGTTGAAGACTGGGTTTGGTTCATACTAGTAAGCATTTGATTTGGCCTGCCTTCTTTTTGTGAAAGGAAATTTTGTCTGTTTCATAAGCAAAGTACATTTATTGTAGAGGTGGATGAGCATTTGAAGTCTTGGCAATTAAGCATTGGCTGGAAATGTTTCACTAACAATGTAATGCTTGATAGTCCAGGGGGAGGTTGACGGAAGAGCCAGACAGGATCAGCTGAGGCTGTGTATTGATGAATTCGGCTCAATACTTCAGCATGTGTGTCTTCTTACACCAGCCTGCAGATAGAAAGTGCTTGGGCAGTATGCTTCATAATTGACGGCCCTGAGAGAGAACTGCAGGCCAGTCCATTACTTTTATATAACATTAGATGCACTTGTAACAGGATGCCTGGGGAGAATTTGAGGAATGGAGAAACAAGGAGTGAAATGGAAATATGGTGACCTTTATTTATAGTTGCGATTGATTTTGAAGAGGCGGTGATCTCTCTTGAGACAGTTATAGTCTGATTTTTTGAATTTCAAACCATTACATAGTCTTGGGACAGTTTAATTGGAATGGTAACTGGAAAGAATTTGATCATCTTTGTGGAGACATTTTTAAATGGAATTTGAATGTGTACGTAATGGGTCCTTGGAGACAGAAAAAGACCATTTGTACCAAGAAAATCTAGGAAATCAAACTACGACTGGGTGAACAGAAGTCTCCTAACTGCACTGTCATCCACCAGTCCAAGGCCACTGACTGCTGGACATGGAAAATATGACAATAGGAAAATAATAGAATTTCTTTAAGTATTACAGTCAGTCAAATGGAAAATTTTTCAGTTGTTTTTGAAGTGTTCTTAATCTAGAGATTTTATCTTTGCACTAGTAAATTTTGATTTAACCTGACTTAATGGTGTACTTACTCTCTGAGGAAACATATTTGAAGACACCGACTGCATCTTTTTACCACCTCTGGTTAGCCAGCCATCTAAATACAGTCACACAGACAAACCGACACTGACAACATTAAGGGTCACATTTTGAGAGGAAGATTCACGTGGGACAACCACAGTGACGAAGTAACAGTTGCAGTCACACTGCGACAATGACAATGAGTCTGCAAGTGACACATGGATACATAACTACTTTGAAAAGGCATTTCACATTGCCTTATAAAAAGTGCAGGAAGGCTGTCTCAGCTAAGAGACCTAGTAAGTGGGGATGAAAGTGACTGAGTGGCTTATTGATAGTGGTGAATAAGTTAGAAAGATCTTGAGGAAATTAGATATTTTAAAATATTCAGCTTATCATATTTATAGTATGAATCTTTCCTTTGTTAAGGAAAAAAAGAAAACTAAAGAGAGAGGGAGGGAGAGAAGAAAAAAGACAAGAGACTTATGATAAACATGCAATTCCCAACAGATGCTTTTGCCAATTTCCTTTGGAAAACTAAGCAAATTGATATTTGGAGTTTGGCTAGAAAAAGGCTTTTGAGAATATATTGCTGCAGAGTCCAGCATAGATGGAGCTGTGAAGTTATGGTAATATTACATAGTGATGACCCAGTGCAAAAACTAATATCCTGAGAACATTGATTTAGTCACAAAATATCCAGGTACATGGGCTCTGTGTCAAATACAAGGGCCCTAACGTCACATATTTTGATAAGACATTAACGCTTATTAGTTTGCTGTCGCATCCACATTGTTAAACAGATAGGTGGGCCCAATTACCCCTTGTTCAGTATTGATTGGGCCCTTATTGTGTGTACTGAAATTTAACTCCCAATGTGTGATTTCTTACTTCATCATGTCTTCTTGAATTTTCAGTAAAAAGAAATTTATACTTTATTTTCAACTGATACATGTTGGAGAGGGATGTATATGTGTATGTGTGGTTGGGGGATTGGGGGGGGGGGGGGGCGTGCCAAACTGCTGGTGTTTAGTCCCATCTTCACATTGCCCACATAGTTATGCTGCACATGGGCCCCTTGGGTTATTCTTTGTGGCATATTGGGGCCTGGACATTAATCACTACTAGAGATAATTGGTCCCCAGTGACCAGTAGTCGTTTGTCACAGGAGACCCGACTGTTCATTGAATTAATACCCTGTCTATGGATCATTAGGTGTGCACACAAATGTGGCAACTTGATAATTGCAACAGAATTTGCAGCAGGGAAAATGTAATTATTGCACACATGTTATCATAATGTATAGAAAGTACAGTTTATTTTATAGGTTTCTAGTGCTAAGGGAAATAGACCAGTTAAGCACAAGAACAAAGTACTATTTCATTTATTTATTCATTCAGTAGCTTGATATTCCATCATTACCACTAGTGACTACCATTTTAATGTTCACAAAAGTGTCAGATGTGCCTGTGTTGCTTTTCTAATTTTTGTCTGAAAATCTGAACAGTGAGCTACCTATCTGAAAATAAAAGTCTTTGATGTTTATTAATTAATTTTTTAATGAGTATATTTGTTGTATTTTCCAGATTCCTTTGTGAACAGTCAAGAATGGACGCTGAGTCGCAGTGTGCCAGACATAAAGTTGGTAAGTGTGTCTTGAATGGTTTTGCTTTAAAGGCAATAAATGTAAATTATTATCTTGTAAATATCATTACCATAAAATTCTCAGAGGCATTGCAGAGCTCTGTCCTCTTCCCTTTAATTATTTGTTATTAACACTTTGATCTTCAAGGGTATAGTAATCTCCATCACCACACTTTGTTTTGCGCCAAGCCATGAACTCCAAGGCTTTGGAATCCATGTTTATTAATTTTTCGTTCTGTGCAATACTTGGTTAATCATAATCATATATATTATAGGGCATCGTGGGCTCCATCCACAGCGGGAAGTCTGCGCTGGTCCACCGTTACCTCACAGGATCCTACATGCAAGAAGAATCTCCTGAGGGTAAGTCTCTGGCAGATGCACTGTATGGAAATAATTCATTCTTTTCAATGGGAGAATTTGAGAATTTTACAGAAACTATCTTAGGGTTATACATTCTTAACATTAAAACATTTCCATTGAGTGGTAGCAACAAGAAAATCTGGCTACCCATTAGTACTGTTCTATAAAGTAAAAGCACAAAAAAAAGCATATAATTTTTAATGATTCTAAGATTATGCATCTGAAAGACAGATAATTTTTGCTCATTAAAAAGATCCAGTCATTAGCGTTGTCTTTTTAACACAAAAAGTTGACCTTGTTTTACCAAATAGCTTGAAGTTTGTATTTTATATTTTACAGTAATCGAAATATTAATTTTGGTTTTTCAAAAAGGCAAAATAAATTATGTATTGAGTTTGATCTCTGTCATTTAGTGGCAAAGAGTTGCCCATTGATTAGGTAAACATATTTTGAAATGATCCAGAGCAGAGAGAACATTTTTTCAATGTATTCAATTTCAAGGGTAAGCAAAAATTATTACAGAACGTTCTTGTATTATTTCTCAGGTGGACGCTTCAAAAAAGAAGTGGTCATCGACGGCCAGAGCTTTCTGTTACTAATACGAGATGAGGGTGGACCCCCAGAGGCACAGGTACATAAGTATTTTAAATCTTAGTGTAAAAGATAAAATAAAACTGACATTGGTTTCATTCATGAAAGTTCCACTGCTGTAATCTAAGAGCGCAAGTGATGTATTAAGGTCCTACAAGTGAAGTCATTATATTGTTAATATATGATTTGGTTATTGGTTTTCTTAAACCCAATATAAGCAGATTGTTGACTGCATGAAGGCTGTGACCAGGATTGGTTGTTTTGCAGTTTACCCACTGGGTGGATGCTGTGATATTCGTGTTTAGCTTGGAGAATGAATCTAGCTTCAGCGCCATTTACAATTATTATGCCAAGATGGCGCACTTTAGAAATACAGCTGAGATACCACTTATATTAGTAGGGACACAAGGTAAATGAGTGGAATATATTTTAAGAAGTACAGTTTGTGTTTATTTTGGTGGCCTGTTTATAACAAAGATAGATAATGTTCATTGGTAGATAGAAAACATGAGCCTGAAAATGACATACGGCCACTATTGTAGGGCTCTTTTTAATTGGGGAAAGGAAGTTGTTTATAACAAGTTATTAAATGAATAACATTGGATCTTTCATACTGAAACTTTGACTTATTTTAGATGCAATAAGTGAAAGTAACCCACGTGTGATTGACGACACACGGGCACGCAAACTTGCCAATGATCTAAAACGGTGCAGTTATTACGAAACTTGCGCCACATATGGTCTGAATGTGGAACGAGTCTTTCAGGATGGTAAGTGATTCTAGGCATTTTACTGCCAAACTAACTCTTAGACCAAGTATTTTGTCCCATACACTATAAACAAATTTATTACAATGTTAAGAGTACATTAAATTATCCAACATATTTACACTACAGGTTTATATTGTCATATTGTTTAAGATACAGAAATTAATGCGCTGTTTCGAAACAAATGTAATATAAAAACCACCCTTTTGTCTTAAAAATTACATTAATACAGCATTTCATCCATTTTGTTTCTTCAGCATGCCAAAAGATCGTCACCGCCAGAATGGCGACGCCAGCCATAAGGCCACAGACCCCCAATCACGGCAGTGGCGGGGGCGGTGTCCCGCGACCTTTCTTCACGCCAGGACAGTCGCAGCCAGCAAACCCAACAGTGCCACCACGAACGTATGAATCCCACAGCTCCAGCAGTACCACGTCTGGCTCTGGAAACATCCCAACTTCCACGCCGCCAAACAGTAGTCATAATATTGCTCAGGTGAGATAGGAGATTAAGGAAACACGCACACTCGCACGCACACACACACCCATTCGGTCTTGTTATATTGCTTAGATTGGGAAAAGATTTTATATTAATTTTTTCCTGTCTATGATTTAAAAAAAAAAAGAGATGCAATATATAATTTTCTCCAATAGTAATTATAGCAGCAGTGCTGTGATTGTAATATAAGGTAGGTAACAAATGCAGATCAATAAGTCCAACGTATGTGTCATTGGCCATGTGATTACAAGGATGTTAAGGTATGAATGATGACAGTGGAGAAAGGAAGCAGAAAGAAATACAATTGGAGGTCAGAGGGGGGAACCAAGAGAAAGACCATTACTTTTAAAAAAACTTTTTGTCTGCTGGATTAGACCACAAAGTGCGCTTTTATGTAGAAAATAGAGAAAACTGGGGTGAGGGAAAGGGGGAAAAGATTCAACATGTGTAAAAAGAAGGAAAAAGGAGAACAAGGAAAACATAAAAAGAGCAACAATTGCCATCTGCACCACCTGATGGTCACATTGCTCAACCTGATGATTAATTCTGTCAGCAAGCCTTCTCTAGCATGACTTGTGTTCTATTCTTTGTGGTGGTGATTTGCTTGAATATGTCTACAGTTAGAAAATCTTTAAAAACATTTGCATGTTATTGCGATTCATAATCTTATTTTCAAGTAAGGTTTGCAAGTGTGTGTATTATTGTCTCCTTGAGTATTTATGTTATGTACAGTAACTTCTAGTAATAGTTTTAAGTAGCAATAAAAAAGATATGTAAAATTTTTCTAGATAATAAATTCTGTTAAAAGTCTTTTCTCTCCATTCACTGTAAAATGTTCTTTCTAAGTTACTGAAATGGTCTTAGTTAATCTGTATTTTTGTTTTCTTTTCTTATTTTCCTGTATTTTATTTGCCCTGTACAGAATACTCCGTCAGTATATCGCGAGTCCTCCTTCACCAAAGACGACAAAAAGGAGAAGAAGTCCAAGGAGAAGCTGCATGCTCAGCAAACGCCACAAATGCAACGACAGTCCCCCCACATGCAGCTGAACATACACGAACCGCCACCCCCTCCAAGAGGAGACCAACTCCAGGTACAAAATGCTTTGGCTGTTGTATGCTATATTTTCTTCCAAGTTCCAACACTTGCAGCAAATAACTATGCAGATGGGGTTTACATATTTTTAAACACGTGGATAGAAAGAAACTCCTGGTTATTTTAACTTTTTTTGCATTTTATCAGAAGCGCCATGAAGACAGCTCAATTTTTACAAATTTCTGATGAACAACATCAAAAGTTTTAAAATCTAAAGCGAATATAATCACTGACTTTTGTTTAATAATACTTTCAATTTTTTTCATACACAAAAAGGCTGTTTTACAAATAAAATCTGTTTAAAATTACATAAATTTACCCAGAGCTTGTTTGTTTGAAATTTTACAAAGATGGAACTATTTACTTATAAACAAAAATAACACACACTTACCATTATGGTTTAATCATTTTTGTTATGTTGCTTGTAATGTGGCAGTGGTAAGAGATTTAAGTTAACATTTCTTTATTGTTTGTTAAGGGGCATATACGTTGTTCTATCAGCTTTTCAAAAGCTGGGGTGACATACCAACAAACCTCATTTTCAGGGAAATCGGGTATTTGGCTGTATTCTTGAAATTAGATTTTTAAAACTTTACAATTTTCCATGCATGTTTGCATGTTTGAAGTAATACCAATTTACAGTCGTGTATATCGTCTCTGATAATAAATTTAGGATTGTGTTCTAACAGTTGTGGCTTGTCATGGTAGAGCATCTATTGTAGGTGCAGCATGTTCAAAAATTTTCATCCATGAGATCTAACAAGTTCCCTTAGATCATGATTTTTTTTTCAGAGTTTGCAGTTGTGGTGTTTTATTTCACACTGACTGACATTGCGTGTTATATTAATCACTTGCTTGCAGGACATACGGCTTGATTCCTCTCCACACAAGTTATTTCGGACGCCGAGTGCCACTCCACAGGCAACACGTAAAAACAAGAAAGCTTTTAATATTCAGAAATCAAATTCTTTCAATGTAAGTTGTGGGAGGTAGTACATTTTTTTCTCACCAGGTGCTAGTAGCAGAGTGGACATAACCAATACCTATCACCCCCTGATTTACAAAGTGGACTATTCCTTATATAGCTTTTAATACAGCGGGAAGGTCCATTTTGAGTTCTGAGTGGGATAATCTGATTTATATGCAAAAAGACCATAAGACCTGGATCTTTTGGGACATGTTTAATTGAAATTTTCATCATTTGATTTTTCGTCACATTTTTTTTTTCTTTTGCAAACACAGATAGTATCTAAATTTTCACATTCAAGGATATCTTTTGTTAATTTAAATCAGAACAGAAATTGAACTACATGTGTTTATAATTTGGAAATATATATATATATATTTTGTTAGAAATAGTGAAATGTTCAAGAATGTGGACAAAAACAAGAATCCATATCTCCTTTGGTCTTTCTGCAGATGTGGTGATTCACAAGATACATATACACAGGTTATATAACTAGGAATGAGCAATGGTTTGATTCTACTGTAGCTATCTACTACCAATGTAGCTTAGGACTACTTCATTTCTTAGTAGAGTGGTGGATTGTTTGGTGTTAAAGCCTCCTACCCCCCCCCCCCCCACCACC